CACTGCTTATCCAGCGAGGACCACCCTCGCCGTTAGACAGAGTTTGGGCTGCAGGGTTAATCTTGCAGCGGGTGCATTTTTAGCCAACAGATTACGAGGGACATTAACTCCCACATTTTTAGTTACAGAGGAAATTACAGCAAGAGCTACGACCACTGCCGCTCCAGAAACCACCCCATCCACAGCCGCCAGAGACACCTTCACCCCATCACAGAGATCAGCAACCCAGCCCACCTCCCGCTCAAAGCCAGGTCAGTTTCATTGGGCTGCCAGTTAGTGCCTGTGATTTTGATGGTGGCTCCGAACAAAGTTCTTCTGTTACTTCAAATCCTAGAATTGATTCCCAATTCAGGTCTTTCAGATCCAGCTGCCCTTCCCCAGAGCACGGACTCTCCTCCTCCAAGTACCAGCTCTCCTCCTCCCAGCATAGATATACCTAAACCAACTCACGACAGAGTCTTTACCGGGACACCAAGAGTGACAGGTAAGTAAAGGCGCACCAGTCTTTATTGCAAGGTGAACAGAGATGTGTGTGTCTGTGTGTGTTCAGTGAGGAAACTTGCCCAACGTTTGGCCATAACCCGCCCCTGAATCAAACACATGTCCTCTGGCGTGTTCTCTAACCACTGAGCTATAGGCCACCACAAATATTTGGAGCCGCACATGGTAACCGTTCTTCTGTCTCCACAGATCCACAGCCATCGGCGACTCCAAGCGAGACTCCCGCGTCTCACACAGACAGTACAAGCCTCCACTCAGCAGATATATCCCATTGGTCAACACAGGAAGACTCCAAGTTTGATGAAACTCCTCGTAAGTGCCGGGCATTTGTCTCACATGAAAATGCTGGGAAAATTTCCAGCAGCCCTTAGGAATTCCCCAGCTGTCATGATAATAATAATAATTAATAAAATAACAACGATTTTGTTATGAATTTCCAAGTGCTCAACGTTTAAGCATTACAATCATATGTATATATATACATATGTATATATAATTATATATTTACAGACATATATGTTTATTTTGGACAGCCGGGTGTCTGACACACGTGGAAACTCATCACCCTGACCAGCCGGGTGTCTGACACACGGAAAGCCATCATCGTAATCAACCGGGTTTCTGACACAAATCGAAACCCACCACCGTGCTTAAGTGTATCGAAATCCAACTGAGATTTTCATGCAGCCCAACTACACATGGAAATCATAGGGATAGATTATTAGAATGGAAAGCGCTCTCTCGCAATCTCTCCCTCGAGGGACACATCCTGCTTACATAATTCAAGAGAGAGACGCAAGTTGGCAAGTGCCAAGATTTGAGGACCCCAAAATCTCTGTAGCGAAACTGCTGGAGCCTAAGCAGCGAAAACTGCATAGTATGCCGCTGTAAGCTCTGTCTTGTAAACATTCACACTGCTTATCCAGCGAGGACCACCCTCGCCGTTAGACAGTGTTTGGGCTGCAGGGTTAATCTTGCAGCGGGTGCATTTTTAGCCAACAGATTACGAGGGACATTAACTCCCACATTTTTAGTTACAGAGGAAAATACAGCAAGAGCTACGCCCACTGCCGCTCCTGAACCCAACCCATCCACAGCTGCCAGAGACACCTTCACCCCATCACAGAGATCAGCAACCCAGCCCACCTCCCGCTCAAAGCCACGTCAGTTTCATTGGGCTGCCAGTTAGGGGCTGTGATTTTGATGGTGGCTCCGAACAAAGTTCTTCTGTTACTTCAAATCCTATAATTGATTCCCAATTCAGGTCTTTCAGATCCAGCTGCCCTTCCGCAGAGCACGGACTCTCCTCCTCCAACTTCTAGCTCTCCTCCTCCCAGCATAGATGTACCTAAACCAACTCACGACAGAGTCTTTACCGGGACACCAAGAGTGACAGGTAAGTAAAGTCGCAACAGTCTTTACTGCAAGGTGAACAAAGATGTGTGTGCCTGTGTGTGTTCAGTGAGGAAACTTGCCAAACGTTCGGCCATAACCCGCCCTTGAAACCATCATCGTGATCAACCGGGTTTCTGACACAAATCGAAACCCAACACCGTGCTTAAGTGTATCTAAATCCAACTGAGATTTCCATGGAGCCCAACAAAACATGGAATTCATAGGGATAGATTATGAGAATGGAAAGCGCTCTCTCGCACTCTCTCCCTCGAGGGACACATCCTGCTTACATAATTCAAGAGAGACGCGCAAGTTGGCAAGTGCCAAGGTTTGAGGACCCCAAAATTTCTGGTGTGGAAACTGCTGGAGCCTAAGCAGCGAAACCTGCATAGTATGCCGCTGAAAGCGCTGTCTGGTAAACATTCCCACTGCTTATCCAGCGAGGACCACCCTCGCCGTTAGACAGAGTTTGGGCTGCAGGGTTAATCTTGCAGCGGGTGCATTTTTAGCCAACAGATTACGAGGGATATTAACCCGCACATTTTTAGTTACAGAGGAAAATACAGCAAGAGCTACGCCCACTGCCGCTCCTGAACCCACCCCATCCACAGCCGCCAGAGACACCTTCACCCCATCACAGAGATCAGCAACCCAGCCCACCTCCCGCTCAAAGCCAGGTCAGTTTCATTGGGCTGCCAGTTAGGGGCTGTGATTTTGATGGTGGCTCCGAACAAAGTTCTTCTGTTACTTCAAATCCTATAATTGATTCCCAATTCAGGTCTTTCAGATCCAGCTGCCCTTCCGCAGAGCACGGACTTTCCTCCTCCAACTTCTAGCTCTCCTCCTCCCAGCATAGATTTACCTAAACCAACTCACGACAGAGTCTTTACCGGGACACCAAGTGTGACAGGTAAGTAAAGTCGCACCAGTCTTTACTGCAAGGTGAACAAAGATGTGTGTGCCTGTGTGTGTTCAGTGAGGAAACTTGCCAAACGTTCGGCCATAACCCGCCCTTGAAACCATCATCGTGATCAACCGGGTTTATGACACAAATCGAAACCCAACACCGTGCTTAAGTGTATCTAAATCCAACTGAGATTTCCATGGAGCCCAACAAAACATGGAATTCATAGGGATAGATCATGAGAATGGAAAGCGCTCTCTCGCACTCTCTCCCTCGAGGGACACATCCTGCTTACATAATTCAAGAGAGACGCGCAAGTTGGCAAGTGCCAAGGTTTGAGGACCCCAAAATTTCTGTTGGGGAAACTGCTGGAGCCTAAGCAGCGAAACCTGCATAGTATGCCGCTGAAAGCGCTGTCTGGTAAACATTCCCACTGCTTATCCAGCGAGGACCACCCTCGCCGTTAGACAGAGTTTGGGCTGCAGGGTTAATCTTGCAGCGGGTGCATTTTTAGCCAACAGATTACGAGGGATATTAACTCCCACATTTTTAGTTACAGAGGAAAATACAGCAAGAGCTACGCCCACTGCCGCTCCTGATCCCACCCCATTCCACAGCCGCCAGAGACACCTTCACCCCATCACAGAGCTCAGCAACCCAGCCCACCTCCCGCTCAAAGCCAGGTCAGTTTCATTGGGCTGCCAGTTAGGGGCTGTGATTTTGATGGTGGCTCCGAACAAAGTTCTTCTGTTACTTCAAATCCTATAATTGATTCCTAATTCAGGTCTTTCAGATCCAGCTGCCCTTCCGCAGAGCACGGACTCTCCTCCTCCAACTTCTAGCTCTCCTCCTCCCAGCATAGATGTACCTAAACCAACTCACGACAGAGTCTTTACCTGGACACCAAGTGTGACAGGTAAGTAAAGGCGCACCAGTCTTTACTGCAAGGTGAACAAAGATGTGTGTGCCTGTGTGTGTTCAGTGAGGAAACTTGCCCAACGTTCGGCCATAACCCGCCCTTGAAACGAAGACATGTCCTCTGGCGTGTTCTCTAACCACTGAGCTATAGGCCTCCACAAATATTTGGAGCCACACATGGTAACCGTTATTGTGTCTCCACAGATCCACAGCCATCGGAGACTCCAAGCCAGACTCCCGCGTCTCACACAGACACCACAAGCCTCCACTCAGCATATATATCCCATTGGTCAACACAGGAAGCCTCCAAGTTTGATGATCCTCCTCGTAAGTGCCGGGAATTTGTCTCACTTGAAAATGGTGGGAAAATTTCTAGCAGCCCTTAGGAATTCCCAAGGTGTCATGATAATAATAATAATTATTAAAATTAGCAACGATTTAGTCATGAATTGCCAAGTGCTCAACGTTTAAGCAGTACAAACTTATATGTATATATATATACACATATATATATTTATATACACATATGTTTATTTTGGAAGGCCGGGTGTCTGACACACGTGGAAACTCATCACGCTGACCAGCCGTGTGTCTGACACACAGGGAAAACCATCATCGTGATCAACCGGGTTTCTGACACAAATCGAAAACCAACACCGTGCTTAAGTGTATCCAAATCCAACTGAGATTTCCATGGAGCCCAACTTCACATGGAAATCATAGGGATAGATTATGAGAATGGAAAGCACTCTCTCGCACTCTCTCCCTCGAGGGACACATCCTGCTTACATAATTCAAGAGAGAGGCGCAAGTTGGCAAGTGCCAAGGTTTGAGGACACCAAAATTACTGTTGGGGAAACTGCTGGAGCCAAAGCAGCGAAAACTGCATAGTATGCCGCTGAAAGCGCTGTCTGGTAAACATTCCCACTGCTTATCCAGCGAGGACCACCCTCGCCGTTAGACAGAGTTTGGGCTGCAGGGTTAATCTTGCAGCGGGTGCATTTTTAGCCAACAGATTACGAGGGACATTAACTCCCACATTTTTAGTTACAGAGGAAATTACAGCAAGAGCTACGACCACTGCCGCTCCAGAAACCACCCCATCCACAGCCGCCAGAGACACCTTCACCCCATCACAGAGATCAGCAACCCAGCCCACCTCCCGCTCAAAGCCACGTCAGTTTCATTGGGCTGCCAGTTAGGGGCTGTGATTTTGATGGTGGCTCCGAACAAAGTTCTTCTGTTACTTCAAATCCTATAATTGATTCCCAATTCAGGTCTTTCAGATCCAGCTGCCCTTCCGCAGAGCACGGACTCTCCTCCTCCAACTTCTAGCTCTCCTCCTCCCAGCATAGATTTACCTAAACCAACTCACGACAGAGTCTTTACCGGGACACCAAGAGTGACAGGTAAGTAAAGTCGCACCAGTCTTTACTGCAAGGTGAACAAAGATGTGTGTGCCTGTGTGTGTTCAGTGAGGAAACTTGCCAAACGTTCGGCCATAACCCGCCCTTGAAACCATCATCGTGATCAACCGGGTTTCTGACACAAATCGAAACCCAACACCGTGCTTAAGTGTATCTAAATCCAACTGAGATTTCCATGGAGCCCAACAAAACATGGAATTCATAGGGATAGATCATGAGAATGGAAAGCGCTCTCTCGCACTCTCTCCCTCGAGGGACACATCCTGCTTACATAATTCAAGAGAGACGCGCAAGTTGGCAAGTGCCAAGGTTTGAGGACCCCAAAATTTCTGTTGGGGAAACTGCTGGAGCCTAAGCAGCGAAACCTGCATAGTATGCCGCTGAAAGCGCTGTCTGGTAAACATTCCCACTGCTTATCCAGCGAGGACCACCCTCGCCGTTAGACAGAGTTTGGGCTGCAGGGTTAATCTTGCAGCGGGTGCATTTTTAGCCAACAGATTACGAGGGATATTAACTCCCACATTTTTAGTTACAGAGGAAAATACAGCAAGAGCTACGCCCACTGCCGCTCCTGATCCCACCCCATTCACAGCCGCCAGAGACACCTTCACCCCATCACAGAGCTCAGCAACCCAGCCCACCTCCCGCTCAAAGCCAGGTCAGTTTCATTGGGCTGCCAGTTAGGGGCTGTGATTTTGATGGTGGCTCCGAACAAAGTTCTTCTGTTACTTCAAATCCTATAATTGATTCCTAATTCAGGTCTTTCAGATCCAGCTGCCCTTCCGCAGAGCACGGACTCTCCTCCTCCAACTTCTAGCTCTCCTCCTCCCAGCATAGATGTACCTAAACCAACTCACGACAGAGTCTTTACCTGGACACCAAGTGTGACAGGTAAGTAAAGGCGCACCAGTCTTTACTGCAAGGTGAACAAAGATGTGTGTGCCTGTGTGTGTTCAGTGAGGAAACTTGCCCAACGTTCGGCCATAACCCGCCCTTGAAACGAAGACATGTCCTCTGGCGTGTTCTCTAACCACTGAGCTATAGGCCTCCACAAATATTTGGAGCCACACATGGTAACCGTTATTGTGTCTCCACAGATCCACAGCCATCGGAGACTCCAAGCCAGACTCCCGCGTCTCACACAGACACCACAAGCCTCCACTCAGCATATATATCCCATTGGTCAACACAGGAAGCCTCCAAGTTTGATGATCCTCCTCGTAAGTGCCGGAATTTGTCTCACTTGAAAATGGTGGGAAAATTTCTAGCAGCCCTTAGGAATTCCCAAGGTGTCATGATAATAATAATAATTATTAAAATTAGCAACGATTTAGTCATGAATTGCCAAGTGCTCAACGTTTAAGCAGTACAAACTTATATGTATATATATATACACATATATATATTTATATACACATATGTTTATTTTGGAAGGCCGGGTGTCTGACACACGTGGAAACTCATCACGCTGACCAGCCGTGTGTCTGACACACAGGGAAAACCATCATCGTGATCAACCGGGTTTCTGACACAAATCGAAAACCAACACCGTGCTTAAGTGTATCCAAATCCAACTGAGATTTCCATGGAGCCCAACTTCACATGGAAATCATAGGGATAGATTATGAGAATGGAAAGCACTCTCTCGCACTCTCTCCCTCGAGGGACACATCCTGCTTACATAATTCAAGAGAGAGGCGCAAGTTGGCAAGTGCCAAGGTTTGAGGACACCAAAATTACTGTTGGGGAAACTGCTGGAGCCAAAGCAGCGAAAACTGCATAGTATGCCGCTGAAAGCGCTGTCTGGTAAACATTCCCACTGCTTATCCAGCGAGGACCACCCTCGCCGTTAGACAGAGTTTGGGCTGCAGGGTTAATCTTGCAGCGGGTGCATTTTTAGCCAACAGATTACGAGGGACATTAACTCCCACATTTTTAGTTACAGAGGAAATTACAGCAAGAGCTACGACCACTGCCGCTCCAGAAACCACCCCATCCACAGCCGCCAGAGACACCTTCACCCCATCACAGAGATCAGCAACCCAGCCCACCTCCCGCTCAAAGCCAGGTCAGTTTCATTGGGCTGCCAGTTAGGGCCTGTGATTTTGATGGTGGCTCCGAACAAAGTTCTTCTGTTACTTCAAATCCTATAATTGATTCCCAATTCAGGTCTTTCAGATCCAGCTGCCCTTCCCCAGAGCAAGGACTCTCCTCCTCCAACTTCCAGCTCTCCTCCTCCCAGCATAGATATACCTAAACCAACTAACGACAGAGTCTTTACCGGGACACCAATTGTGAGAGGTAAGTAAAGGCGCACCAGTCTTTACTGCAAGGTGAACAGATGTGTGTGTCTGTGTGTGTTCAGTGAGGAAACTTGCCCAACGTTTGGCCATAAACCGCCCTTGAATCGAACACATGTCGTCTGGTGTGTTCTCTAACCACTGAGCTATAGGCCTCCACAAATATTTGGAGCAGCACATGGTAACCGTTCTTGTGTCTCCACAGATCCACAGCCATCGGCGACTCCAAGCGAGACTCCCGCGTCTCACACAGACACCACAAGCCTCCACTCAGCAGATACATCTCATGGGACAACACCGAAACGCTCTGCTTCAGATGATCCTCCCAGTAAGTGCCCGGGCAGTTGTCTCACATGAAAATGGTGGGAAAATTCCGATCAGCCTTTAATATTACCGCAGCAGTCAGGATAATAATATTAATTATAATATTAATAATAATACTTAATCAATTTGTAACGATTTTGTCTTCAGTTGCCAAGTGCTCACCGTTTAGGCAGTGGCGTCCTGAAATATATTTCTTTCGGGCAGCCAGGTATCTGACACACGCGGAAACCCATAATCGTATTTTATAGTATACAAATCCAACTGACATTTCCATGCAGCCCAACTGCACATGGAAATCCGAGAGATAGATTGTTGGATAGGAATGCGCTTACTATCTCTCAATCTCTCTTTCTCTCTATCTCTTCCTCTCTCACTATCCCTCTCCCTCTCTCTTACTCCATCTCTCTCTCTGCCTCTCTCTCTCTCTCTCTCTCTCTCTCCCTTGAGGGACAAATCTGTTTGCCTATTTCCAAAGGGAGGTGCAGATTAGCAAGAGCTAAGGCTTGAGGAGACCAGACTTTGTGTTTGGGAAACTGCTGGAATCTAAACGGTGAAAACTGCATTCCGCAGAGAGCTCAGTTTGGTAAACTTTCTCATTGCTTGTCTAGCTAGGAACAACCTACCCGATAGTTTGGGCTGTGGCTGCAAGGTTACTCTTTCAGATGGTGCAATTTTATCTGAGATAATGTAATGGTCAGTAACTCCCACATGTTAAGTTACACAGGGAACCACACCAACAGCTCCGTCCACTGCAGCTCCTGAAACCACCCCATCCACAGCCGCCAGAGACTTCTTCACCCCATCACAGGGCCCAGCAACCGAGCCCACCTCTCGCTCAGAGCTAGATCAGGGTCCATGGGCTGCCCGTTAGGGCCTCTGTTTCTGAGGGTGGCTCCTGACAATGTTCATCCGTGAATTCAAACCTTTTCGTTCATTCCCAATTCTGATCTTTCAGTTCCACCTGCCCTTCCCCAGATCTCGGACTCTCCTCCTCCAAATCCCAGCTCCCCTTATCCCTACATAGCAGATCCTACAGCGACTCCCGAGAGCACCGTTACCGGGACCCACATTGAGACAAGTGATTAAGTGCTCACCAGTCTGTCCTGCTGCTTATCGCCAACCGTTTAGTGAGTCAGACAGTAGCTCCTGGTGTGGAGTTGATACAAACCACACAACTTGTCAGACACTCCAGATGATGTTGCTCATTAGCCAGGTCAGTGTCCCTGGGTTACCAGTTAGGGCCGTGTTCCTGACGGTAAAACTTTACAACTTGGAGCCTCCTATTGGACTCTGGGGTTTTGCTCAATCAGTTCTACAACTGAACTAAGGTCATCACAGTTCAATGGCAGTGAAGCAGGTGTCTGGTCTGGTTTACAGAATTTAATAGACGTCATTTTGGGGTCCTCCAGGTTAATGTGTGATTGTGAAGGACAATGTGGGGTTGTGCAGGGTAGTGTCGGGTTGTGTAGTTCAGTGTGGGCTTGTGAACATTAGTGTGGGAATGTGTAAGTTAGTGTGGAGTTGTGAAGGTAAGTGTGGGGACTTGTATGTCAGCGTGGGGTTGTGGAGGTTTGTGTGGGGTTGTGCAGGTTAGTATGGGGACATGAAGCTCTTTGGTTAGAGCACTGGCATTGCAAGCGAGAGGACCTGGGATCGATTCCTTACTCCACACGCCGTAGCAGTAAATAGGAACCCGGTTGTTGATTGTTTGGTGGTTTGCTTTTCCAGGGATAATAATACACTGCCAAAAAATTTTAAATAATCATAATAATAATTTGATTACTCAATCCACGGCTGTTTGTGTGACTTGGTGCTGCAAAATGGGCTGCCGCACTTTACGCATGAACTCCACAGTCACTAAACTTTACAGTAAATTCTGTGAAACGTATTGAGATGTTCTAAGGCGCTGTATCAGATGCATGGCTTAATAATAATAATATCATTATAATTATATGAAGAGAGCCCGATCTGATTGGGGGCAACACGAAGGATGATGTGTCCTGGTGCGTGTCCTGGACTCAAGGCTTGAAGTAATAACTAGGAGTTAGAGCAGAGACGCTCTTGGTAACGCTTCTCCTCTCTCCACAGATAGACAACCAACACCGTCTCTCCTCCCATGAGGCCATCGAACATCGAGGATCAGGGATTCTGTGATGACAATCCTGGTCAGTCCACTTTGTATCTCAGCGATTCTCAACCAGTTGACACCTCTTTACATTGTCTTTGCTGTGTCATCTGGACTCTCCCCACGAAACCCCAACCCGCAGCACCCCAATCCCCAACTGCCTCCAATCAATCCCCAACCCCGAAACCCAAATTCCTAACCCCACCCCAACAACCCAGCAAGCCCCCAATCCCACATCAACACCCCATCCAAACCCCCAACATCCATCACCAACCCCCTCCCAAACTCCACAACTCCCTTCACCTGTCTCACCTGATCCCTACCTCACCTCACCGTGCCCGGTAACCTACACTTTGACTCACTGGGACCTAACTCTCAAGAGTAATCAAACTGGGGACAGGAGTAGACCGTTCAGCCCAGGAAGTCTCTTCAGAGAGTTGATTGAATTGTGGCAGGTCTTTTGATCAGATTCGCTACATTTCCCCACAAACCCCGTTATTTCCCAAATGATTGTCTTACATTTGCGGTGTTGAGTTAAGATGATATCCCACCAATGGCGCTCGCATGCCTATCTCTGATCAGGGAGACAGTGCAACGGGAGCCACAGGGTTCAAGGGAATGAGCCATTGTGTGTGTGGGGAGGATGGCGCAGGGAACCCTCTCACTCGTTTTCATATCCCTTCATGTCCTCGCACCTCCATACCTCTCCGACCTGCTTAACCGTCACCCGTCCCCGTCTTCCCCAACCCGGCCACCACCCACCCCAGCTCCCCGGTCCTTACCCACTGTCTCCGCTCGACTGGCTCCGTCCTCCTCTTTGTCACTTGAAACTATCGATGGCCGCGCTTTCAGCCTCTGTGCCCTCAAACTTTGGGACACGCCTCCTCTACTTCTCCCTCTAGTCCCTTCCTGCCCCACCTTCAGGTCGTGCCTGAAGACCTTCCTCTTTGACCGACCCGACGGTCACCTCCCCCCACCTCAGCGTCATAATCCATCACTGTCAAGCGCTCTGGGTCGCTGCCCTGTGTGAGAGGCGCTGTGTAAACGGGGTTATTGTTGCTGTGGCTCTATGGCGATGTCCAATGTTACGTCTACGACTCTAGCTGTGGGTCAGCTATTGAAGAATCGGTGCCTCAATGTGAGATAAAGAAACTTTTTTTTGTTTAGAATGCCATTTTGTGCCTCTAACTCTCGGCATCACGTACGAGGAAATCCTCCGACTCCGGAAGAACTTGAGCAACTGAAGGCGTCGATTTTGGGGCAGGTAAGTCATTGGACATGAAATGTTGCTTCACAGCGTGAAAACATGAGCTCCAGCCCTGACCACACACTGAGCTACAGCTTCCTGTAGCCTTCCTCTTGTCACTGTTTCCTGTTTCAGGTGGACGGCAAAGACCCCATGGGACAGTTGGAAAGAGAAGGGAGTTTCTCCCTGTGATCTCGCCAGCTACCCTCCAAATAAAATTGCTCGCTCACTCCTTGTGGGAACTTGCTGCGTGCAAATTGGCTGCCCCGTTCAGCCTACAAAACATACACACTTTACATTATAGCCTGTGAAGCCCTTTGAGATGTACAAACAGAATGAAAGACGCGATATCCATCGCAGTGAATTTTATGACGATCATATTAAATAGTTTTGTCCTTCACAAACCCACCAGCTTTCGATAAGTCACTACAGTCTGTGCTCTGAGCCGCTCTAATCTACAGGTTAATTGATTGTTTTATTCAGTTACACGAGAGGCTGAAAAAAGCATTACCCAACTTGACTTTCGGGAGAGTGAAGCTCAAGGAACGCTCGTCTGGCAAGAATACCTGACGGATGAGGCGACCAGGCTAAGGAAAGGCCGGCAATGCCTCAGCACAACTTGTGTCCTATTTTCTCAGCAGTTGCTGCCTTAACCCTGGCTTCAGAGGGTATTAGGATTGCTTGTGTTTCTGCCCCGTGTTGTTTGAACAGTGATGGGTTAACAATCTTGCGCTCAGCTTTGCTCCAATGTTGTGACGAAGGGGGATATTTTACCGCTTATTTATTGTAATCGAATAGTTGTGGTTATATGCGTTGTGTTACTTTGTGGCTCAGAAAAGAGTAACGTTATATTTTACGTCCCGAGCGGACACGGGCTTTGCTTCCAGTCGTGTGGTTCCTATAATAAGTAGTTTAGAGACACACGCACCTCTGACGTGGTGTTTTGAATAGATTGATTGGCATTACGGGTGATGGCATTAGCTGGAGATGGAAGTATGTTTTTTGTTGTTTGAGCCGATGGTGATGGGTTAACATTCTCGCGTCAACTTTACACCAATGTTGTGACGAAAAAGGTTAGAGTATTGGGGGGAGGTGGGGTGGGGAGAGGGTGGTGGGGGGTGTTTATTTCACCGGTTCTTTATTTAAATCCAATAGTTGTGGATAATCTGGGGATACATATGTGAAATTTCGTATTGTAACCGTTTGCTTTTGTATCACCACTTCTGCAACCGTTTCAATTCCCAATAAAGCTTCTTCAACACAAAGTGTGGAGGGATAGTAGCGCACATATTTTGACAGCTTTGCTGTCAGGGATTGGTTTCCGCTCCCTGTGTCCGGGCGTTGCCGACGGTGGAGAGGGGAATCTGCACTGATCCTGACCTGGAAGTGTGGACGCACAGTGGAGAGGGAGCTTTACTGTGTCTGTAACCCTAACCTGGGAGTGTGGGCACACAGCGAAGTGGGAGCTTTACTGTGTCTGTAACCCTGACCTGGGAGTGTGGACACACAGTGGAGAGGGAGCTTTACTGTGTCTCTAAACCAGAACTGGGAGTGTGGACGGACGCCCAGGGTAGAGGGAGATTTACTTTGTCTCTAACCCTCACCTGAGAGTGTGGAAGCCCAGGGTAGAGAGAGCTTTACTGTGTCTCTAACCCCGACCTGTGAGTGTGGACGCACAGTGTAGAGAGAGCTTTAATATGTCTCTAACCCTGACCTGGGAGTTTGGACGGATGCACAGTGTAGTGGGAGCTTCATTGCGTCTCTGACCGCGAAGCGGTGACGTCGTGGGCTGCCGAGCTTCGCGGTGACGCCACGCCATGGCTGAGTGACGCGTCGCACTGCCCAGTGACTCGGTGACGTCAAGCTATGTCCAAGTGACGTGCTGCGCTGACCGGTGACGTCACTCAATGACGGAGTGACGTATCGCGCTGCCCGTGACGTCAGGGCCCCGCTATTGGGCTCAATTGGGAGGGGAGAGAGGGAGCGAGGATGGGGCAATGGTCAGGGTGAGGGGAAGACGGGAGAGAGCGAGGAGGGGGGAAATGGTCAGGGTGAGGGGAGGGAAGGGAGAGAGCGAGGAGGGGAAGATGGTCAGGGTGAGGGGAAGGGAGAGAGGGGGCGAGGAGGGGAGAATGGTCAGGGTGAGGAGAGGAAGGGAGAGAGCGAGGAAGGGGGAAATGGTCAGGGTGAGGGGAGAGGAGAGAGGGAGCGAGGAAGGGGGAGATGGTCAGAGTGAGGGGAGGGCAGAGTGGGAGAGAGGAGGGGGAACGGTCAGGGTGAGGGGAGGAAGGGACAGAGCGAGGAGGGGGGAAATGGTCAGGGTGAGGAGAGGGGAGAGAGGGAGCGAGGAGGGAGGAAATGGTCAGGATGAGTGGAGGGAAGGGAGGGAGCGAGAAGGGGGGAAATGGTCAGGGGGAGGGAAGGGAAAGGAGGGAACGAGGAGGGGGGAGATGGTCAGAGTGAGGGGAGGGAAGGGAGAGAGCGAGAAGGGGGGAAATGGTCAGGGTGAGGGGAGGGAAGGGAAGGGAGGGAGCAAGGAGGGGGAAATGGTCAGGGTGAGGGAAGGGAAGGGAAGGGAGGGAGCGAGGAGGGCTTAGACAGTCGAGAAGGGAGCTGAAGGCACGGACAAGCTGAAAGCTTTTGAGACCGGCCTTGAAGGAGGAAAGGGAGGAAGCAAGGCGAAGTCACTGGGGGATGGAGTTCCAGAGCTTACTTACTGATATTGTTAACAGTGTGGGGGATTTGTAAGCACAGGGAGTGGGCTGAGTACTAGTAGTGAGTGGGGTGAGCACAGGGAGTGGTGATGAGCACAGGGAGGATGTGCGCAATTGGCTGCCGCGTTCGCCCACAAATATACAGTCAATTCACTATACGTTATATTCTGTGAAGCGATTTGGGAAGTCCTCCCGACGTGAAAAGCGCTATATCAAATGCCAAGGATTATTCTTATTATCATTCTTCCCATCGGAGGTCAGGGCAGGAAATTACTTGTATAAATGTACCAAACACTTAGATGGACGAGAGCTCACATCACCAGAGAGCAAGTGATTCGGAACGTTTGTGTGAGTAAAGAACGAGAGCCCGGACGCTCTCACCAATGGACACTGACCGTCCCCCTTGTATCCAGTCACAGGAGTCACAGGACGCTCCTCACCCCCCACCCATCCTTCCACCAGTTGCATCCACTCTGTGACACGAGTGGCTCCCCATTCCTCACTCCCAACACCCTGCCTCCACACACTCTATTCTTCCCTCCCAAACCACTATCCCTCACATCCTCCCATCTATTTCTCCCTCCATCTTACGCCCTGTATTCCTCGATTACTTCTACACAGTCCATTGCCCTCACCATCACTCTTTACGCCCATCCTCCCACACTATCTGTTCCACCATCACTCCCACATACAACTTCGCAGACCCTGATTCCCTCCCAATTCCCCTTTTTCCCCTCTTTCTCTTACCAAATCCCTTCCACTCGAATGTATTACAGTACTTGACTCAAACCCCGCTTCAGCGTGAAGTCGTTAATCCTAAATTGCCTGTTTGAACCCTGGATGTGATCTTATTCTGTTGCTTAAAAACGGGCCTGAAGATCACACGACACATTCAAAATGAATTCCCCGCCTGTCGTCCCTGGCTGAAGGTGTGTGTTATAATGATAATAGCAATAACAGTAACGATCCTTGCATTTGATATAGCGCTTTTCACGTCGGGAGGACGTCCCAAATTGCTTCACAGAACACACTGTAAAGTGAATTGACTGTACATTTGTGGGCGAACGCGGCAGCCAATTGTTCACAGCAATGTCCCACAAACAGTCGTAGATTGAAAATGACCAACTTATTATTGTTTTTGGTTTTGGAGGGATGATTATTAGGCTCTGTGTGGAGTAAGGAAACTTGCGCAAGGTTTCGCCCTCTGCCTGGAATTGAACTCAGGTCTCTCGCTTGCAAAGCGAGTGCTCTAACCACTGAGCTACAGGACTCCACTGTCCCCGTTCTCACAACCCACCCGGATCACAGCCGTCGTTTCCCTTCCATCTGTGTAAATGAACATTAGCTGAGATTTGCCCTGAACCGGTCTCTGAACCCCTTTCCCATCCCAACCCATACTTGATATGACCGCTTCCTCCAGGCCGAGAAACAACCAAATGGTCACTTTTACGCTCAACTGAACCGTGTGAGTTTTACAGAGGGAGAGTGTGTGAGATTATGTTTACTCTGTCTTCTTGCCAGTTCCGCCTCAGGAACCCACATTTTCACTAAAGGCAGATTCCCGGGTGTTTGCGAGAGGGGACCGTGCTGAGATCTCATGTTCTGGGAATTATCCCGGCAGCAATTTTTCTCTATTCAGAGACGGCGACTTCACCAAATTACATAGAGCCAGTGAATAAAAAAGCTATACGAGCTGAGAAAAAATTTCATACAATAACCTGTTTTGTGTTTTGACCATTCGTAGCAGCTCCAGTTGTCAACATACTTTACACCCTCGATTTTATTTCCGTGTCACCACCTGGTATTGGCTGGAGTGTTTGACCAGAGCGGAGACGCATTACCGCGATAAAACAATTTCGAAGTCCAAACTACCGAGGGATCCCCACACGGCAGTTCCAGCTTAAACATTCTCTCCTCACCCAAGAGGCAGAGTCGTCGCAGTTGATGTTATCCTCACCTCTTTACGGTGTGTTTTTTTTCCGCCAGACAAGAATGTGCAAAACCAGATTCTGCAGCTCGTGTACTGTCCCGCACCAGACTTCGGGACCGCATCACTCCCACCCTCGCTTGACTCCACTGGCTCCCCATCCCCCAGAGGATCGAATTCAATATCCTCATCCTCACCTACAAGGCCATTCACGACCTTGCTGCCTCCTACCTCTCCGACCAACTAACTCCCTACTTACCTGCCCGTACCTTACGTTCTTCTGGCTCCGGTCTGCTCCACATCCCCCGCCCCAACCGCCCTACCATCGGTGGCCGGGCCTTCAGCCTCTCAGCCCCTAGGCTCTGGAACTGCATCCCCCAGTGCCTTCGCCTTGCTTCCTTTCTTTCCTCCCATTCACTGCCATTGCACCAGGAAGTCAGCAAACCAACCGTGCCTCACGATTCTGATTACAGAAGATCCTGTCAGTGCCTCTTACTGCTGAATCATCTATCACAACTCTATTGCCCTTGTGGACCATGCCCTGGTCCTGTTGGACAGAATGTCAACTGCTGTCGTCACGAGAGGCTTCCACGCTCTCGATAACTAATTTCGAGTAACGATTAGAGACTGGTACTCTGTTCGGGTTGCGCTGCCTTGAACAAGCCGTCTTCTTGCCCCGTCGCACTGTCACCAATCACTTTTAGCACGAATGAAGGTTCGGTGCGTGTTGGGCTCCTCTGGGAGTGTTCCTTTTCTTGTACTCTGACCTCCTGTTAGCTCCAGTAACCCTCTCTCATGGATCCTGTGCAGCGATGGGCTGCTATAACTGAGTCCTAGGGGAGTGACGGCCTGCTGCAACATGCTGTCCAGGAAACGCTCACTGTCCCTGATGAAGCGCAGTGTCTGAAAATGGGACATAAGCTCAGCTGTTCTAAGTTTGATATTGCTCAGTTGCAGACATTTGCTGTAGTGAAGCCACGTGGGCTCAGGTTGCCCTCCATCAACTCCCACATACCACATTCCTCGCACATCACCTGCCAGGCCATTACCTGGCTCCTCTTTCCTCCCCCTAGATATATAACCTGCACTTACTTTCCCCTCTGCACCCAATTCCCACTCTCACAAATTCCCTCACATTCTGGCCTCGCCTCACTCCGGATGTAGCTCACTCTGCGCTCTCTGCTGGGCTCATTCCCCAACTCAGTCAGTAAGAGAGACAGACACAGAGACACAGAGACTGAGACTGTGTGGACATGTGTCTGTCTCTGTGTCTCTGTCTCTCACACTGACTACAGCTCCCAGGGTGCCCCGCGCGGGCCGACCCCGTCACCAGAGGGCTCTGACCCGTGAGGCATGCCGGGAGCTGTAGTTTCCGGCTCAGTGCCGCAGGTTGTGGCTGTGATTGTGACGGCACAGAGAGAGAGAGCGACA